ATACATATAATATATAGTGATCAAATCAGGGTAATTAGCATATCCATCATCTCAAACATTTATCATTTCTTTGTGTTGGGAATATTCAATATCCCCCTTCTAGCTATTTGAAACTACTTATTATTAACTATAATCATCTTATAGTGCTACAGAACACTAGAACTTATCCCTCCTATCTAGCTGTAATTTTTTTTCAATAAACCCTTTACTAGGGCCCAAAAGTCTAAAACAAAAACAAACTAGAAATTGTCACTACCACTTCCCTTCCCAAACAAAGTTTTCAGGAATCCTCTTTACAATTTAAATCCAGAAGTTCTTAAAGTGTGATCTGTGGATCCCTAGAGTCCTCACACTCTTGTAGGGGACCCATAAGATCAAAACTATTTTTATAATAACACTAAGATTAAAAATCTTAAATTAAGGCCAGGCGCGGTGGCTCACGCCTGTAATCCTAGCACTCTGGGAGGCGCAGGCGGGCGGATTGTTTGAGCTCAGGAGTTCGAAACCAGCCTGAGCAAGAGCGAGACCCCGTCTCTACTAAAAATAGAAAGAAATTAATTGGACAACTAAAAATATATAGAAAAAAATTAGCCAGGCATGGTGGTGTATGCCTGTAGTCCCAGCTACTCGGGAGGCTGAGGCAGAAGGATTGCTTGAACCCAGGAGTTTGAGGTTGCCATGAGCTAGGCTGATGCCACGGCACTCACTCTAGCCCGGGCAAAAGAGTGAGACTCTGTCTCAAAAAAAAAAAAAAAAAATCTTAAATTAAAATTACTGGCACCTTGTAGCAACATCAAACTGTAATATTAGTCATTTTATTTTTCACCATCAAGCATTAGCAGACATAAAAAGAGAAAAAGCCAGTTTCACTTAAGAATGTCCTTGGGAAAAAGAAAAAACAAAACAAACAAACAAAAAAAGAATGTCCTTGAAATAGTAAAAATGATTAATTTTTTATACATCTTTTTAATATTCTGTGTGACAAAATGGGAAGTATGCTTAAATATTTCTGCTACATACTGAATTACAGTGGCTGATGGCTATCTCAAAGCGGAGTGCTTCAGTAACTGAATTTAGAGCTGGAGCTAGCCTTTTCTAATGAAATACCATTTTGAAAGAATGACTGACAGACTATGGTTATTCAAATTTGGGTATTTTGGCAGAGGTTTTCTCAGAAATGAATGAAACAAGCCTGCCTGTCACTTCAAGGAAACAACTGGCAGTCATACTTGTTGCCAATGATAAAATTTGAGCATTTGAGCAAAAATCAGAATTCTGGAAAATTCATATCCGCCATCATGTCACTACCTGAACAGTTTCCCAATAATTTCCTTCTGATGGAATGGGTAGTAATATTAACAAATGTGACTTTCCTTCATATTGTATAATGAAATATGTCAACATTTGGAAGATCTGCATCTGACCTCACTGAACCAATCTTTACAAATGACCAAAGAATGATGTTATAAATTCAAGCATGGATATAAGACCCATTCAAATTTCAGACCAATGGATTTTAAGGTAATAGAGTATGAAAAAAATCCACAATATGATTTCAGATCCACACTGCAACTAACCTTTAAAAAGTTACCACTTGTTGAGTTTTGATACAATGTCAAACAAGAATATCCACAATTCTCTGAAAAGGCTATTAAAATACCCTTCCCTTTTCTGAGCCATTACTGTGAGTCTGCATTTTTTCCATGTATACTTCAATCAAACAGCATATTGCAACAGACTGAATGCAGAAGCAGATATGATAATCCAGCTGCTTCTATTAAACCAGACATTAGAGAGTTACAAAAACATAAAACAATGCCACTTTTCTCACTAATTTTCTGTTTTGAAAAAATAGTTACTTTTCATTAAAAATGTTCTATATTAACATCTAATGGGTTTATACTTGTCATTTTAAGTGAATTAACAAAAAAATTCTATTTCTGTTTTCATTTATAATACAGTAAAGACAGATAGATATAATTCACAAAATATAGATACACATAATTCACAAAAGTTTTCTGGGGGTCTTCAATAATTTTTAAAAGTGTAACAGGGTCCTGAGACCAACAGTTTAAAAACATCTGACCTGAAGAATAGAGTATTAATATCATATCTCTGCAAACCAAGAAGAATAAGTACATAAGATCATTAATGGGGGAAAAAAACTTTCCTAGGAAAACTATGTGAAAACAGAAAATGAATAAAATGTCGAATCAAAACTGACCTCACACTACCTATGTAACATCAATAAAGGAGAAAATAAAACAAGACAAAGAATGCTTAGATGAAAATAATTTTGTATACCCTGGAAACATCGTACAATATCCTGATCAGATAAACACATATATACCCATTAATATTTTGATAGTATTTTTTATAGCAGCACATGACAGTCAAAGAAACACCCAATCACAAACTCAAAAACAGGTGATTAAAATAGCAGCCACCACCAACAGGAGGGAGGCAATCCAAGGTTCTGTCAGAGGGAAAGACAGGGATACTTCAGCAGCTCTCCAGTAGCATCCCAGGGCACCCAGCTCAGGGTCTGGCTGTTCTATTTAAAACTTACTTACACGTTTCCAAGGCAGGACAGTGAGACAAAGCTCTTATTCAACCCCAAAGGAGCAAATGAATCATAGTTGAATTAATCTGCACTAATACTACTGTCAGTCAATTGTCCTTTTTCAGCTTACTAGATCTCTTGAAAGACCGAGGAAAAACAACATTTACTGAGCACTTACTATGTGCCAGGCAATGTGGGCTAAGCACTATACATGTATTAACTCATTTAATATTTGAGATCATCTTAAGGGTATACACCATTATTACCTTCATTTTTTGGAGTTGAGAAAATTAAAGGACAAAGAGGACAAATAATTTGCCTTAAAAATATATAAATAAAAATAACTTGCTTAAGGAAAGTCAGGATTCAAATCTAGCCAATCTGACTCTGAGGTCCAACCCCTTAGTCACTACACTACAGTACATAGGCACAGTAACCAATGATAACATGTGAAGTTTAAAATTCAGTGCCCACCCCAGACAATTTCTGTTGTTTACATTGAAATCCATTGCCTAAGGGAAGCTCCCAACTTGCAGAGGGCCCCTGACAGGTTCATCCATTACCATTCATACACTTTTCAACTTCCAGGTACTGGGGGACTTCAAGCAAGAGAGTAGATTCTGGAAGACGAATACTGTTGAGGAGGTTTAAAAATGATCCAAAATGTAGAATATAATACAAATTACAAAATTTCACAACTCTTGGACCTCTTTTCCCTCTGCTAATGGAGGTAAAACCATTATTACATGGTTTTAGTTTCTAACTAGTTTCTATCTAGTTTCTAAAGAAAAGAACGCCTCAATTCAAGTCAATTGGAAAAGCTTTATAAAAATTGCTTCTACAAAAGCTTAAATTGCATTAATACATTTAAATGTTTTGCAACGTTGGCCAAATACAAGCGTAGCTTTGAGCCTACCCTCTTCATTTCGGAATTGAGAGTGAGTCTGCAGTTGTAAATACGATGGATCAAGTCAAGTCAGAGTTTTGAGGTCATTAAAAAATGAATCTATAAATTCACTGTAGAATTTAACTTAAGAGAAGTGGACTGGGAAACTGACGAATCATATTAGAACTCTGCCTTCAGGATGAGAAATAAGGAGTGGACGAGGCACTGCTAACTCACAGTAATACTACATAGGAAATACAGACCTTCCAGGGTTTTGTTTGGTTTTGACATTTGGCACGTTTTAAAATACACACCATTTAAAGAGCGTTAAATAAACCACTTCTTTTTTGGCCTACTAAACTGAAAACATTCCACAATACAATTACAAAAATAACTTTCTGGTTTTCTCAGACAAACCAGACAATTTGTAAAAATAATTTCAGAGGTTAACAAAGAACGTGAATTCAATTTACATAAAGATTAAGAAACGGACATAAAAGGTAAGTGAAAATGAGTGATCAAGAAGACAAAGTCCTTTCTAACTACAAGTTATCATACATTAAAATTAAACACCACTACAGTTTTGAACACTTGAAGAAAAGAAAAAAAACCCACACACAATTAATACTGCCAAAGAAAATTTCCGCTAAGTGTTACCTTCAGGCACTTGAGCAAGCTATGTTACAATGGGAGATGGGCTTTAAACTATCAACATTCACACCGATTACACTGTGATGTATTAACCTCCAGGACAGGAACCCAACCAACTCAAACTGTCCTGGTCTCCATAAGAGGCTTACATGGCAGAGGGGAGAAAACAACTGCAGAGGCAAACAAGCCTTCGCGTTTGGGTCACAGGAGTCCTTGAACACTTGTGATCGAGAACCCGCAACTCAGGAAGGCAGGCAGTAGCGAAGCTCTGCACTGTCATCTAGGGTGGTATGATTCAGGTTCAAATCAAACCCACAAGGCGACAAGTTGTAAACAGAGAGCACACTTGAGACCAAACCATCCAGCGAGAGGAAGCAAAGGTGACCACCGCCGATTTCCCACCCAACCCCACCCTGCTGGCGCTCGGCCCGGTACCCCAGGATTCCCGCAGCGCAGGGGCTCGCGACTCGGCTGCCGGCTCTCCCTGGGGTGGGTGCTGGGCGGGGGGCGGGGCGCGCTCGCCCGCGTCCCCACCACCCCTCGGCTGGGCTCCGCGCTCGCCCAGAGAGACAGGCAGGGCGGAGGGGGGCCTCCTCCAGCCGGAGACCACGCCGAGATCCTCCGCAGGGACTGGGGCGGGAAGCGACCGAGTGTCCAGGGGCGGGGGCGGGGGGCCGTTTTCCCGGCACCAGCCGAAGCCCCAACCCGTCAGGGGTTTCCTTCAACATCCAGTCTAGCCCTCCACCTCCGTGAAAGACGCGCGCTACACCCTGAAGGTACAAGCGGAGAGGCCCGGGGTCGCAACTCCCGCCCCCTGACGCCGTCGCCCGCCGCTCCTGCGGCCGGGGGAAAGCAGCGGGGCGGCCGGCCGGGACGCGCGGACGGCGGCGGGGCGCTCACCGGCTCAGAACAGGGCGCTGGCGGGACTGCGCACAGCTGCAGCACTGGGCTCGACACCCGGCTCACGGCGAATCCCTCGCCGCCCGCTGCCCGGTGTTTTCATACAAACCCCGGTGGCAGGCGAGGCGGAGGCGGCAGCAGAGGCGGCGGAACCTGCCCGCATCCCGGGCAACGTCAGCGCGGCGCCCCGCCCACCGCACGCCTCGGCCGGTCGGCTCGCGCGCGCCGGGCGGGAGGGGGAGGGCGAGGGGCGGGGCGGAGCGCGCGCGGGGGCAGCCGGGGCCGGGGGTGCGCGCGGGGTCGGGATTAGGTACCCGTGTGGTGCGCGTTGCCGGGCTCATGTCCCCAGCAGCCCCGGGCTTTGCGCGGCCACCGCCCAACCGAACCGAACAGCGGGCGGCTCCGCACGTTCTTCATGTCACCTTCCCCTACGCTTCCAACGAGGGCCCCCGCCTCTTCCCGGCACTCAACCGGCGCCCACCCTCACCAGCCTCAGTCACTCCCTAAGAAGGCTTTTAGCAGCCCTGCAATAGCGGTTCTTAAGTCCCCCCACTGATGGCGGGTCACAGCAAACCCGCAGGAAAGCTTAGACCTTTCCTAACCTCAAGGAGAGTCCGTGGTAAGAGGCAGTTACCACACAACTGGGCTCCCAGAAAACGACATGGCACTTTGTGGCCACACCTCAATAAATTAGACGCCTAGTGCTGCAGCAAACAAAATATTAAACAGCATGCTGATTTGTTTGGTTTTTTTTTTTTTTGAAAGATGCCTACATATAATCAACGGTAATGCTAATTGCCCACTGAAGGCAAAGACGGAATGTTTTATCTGAGCCAAAGTAATGTGTCACAGAAATTACCGATACACCCTTCTGTTTTGACTGTACTTAAATGTACTGTAATATATTGTTAATAAATATTGACATCATTTACTTTTCCTAAGGCGCATAGATCATGTTTGCTGCTATTTATGGTAGGCAGTAAGGAATGTAAAATTATACAGCTAGATAAGGGAATATAATGAGAGCTCTGAAGGTTTTGGTTTGTTTTCTTATCATCTTGTTAAACAAAATTAAGACCGGGCGTGGTGGCTCACACCTATAATCCTAGCACTTTGGATGGCCCAGGCGGAAGAATTGTTTGAGACCAACCTGAGCAAGAGCAAGACCCAGTCTCTACAAAAAGTGAAAAAATTAGCCGGGCGTGGTGGCGGAGCCTATAGTCCCAGCTACTTGGGAGGCAGAGGCAGGAGAATTGCTTAAGCCCAGGAGTTTGAGGTTGCAATGAGCTATGATGACGCCACTACACTCTAGCCCAGACAGCAGAGTGAGACCCTGTCTTAAAAAAATAATAATAATAATAATAACCAGGTGTGAAGAGGATTCAAAAAGTAATCCAAGGTGCACCACAGTGCTTCTGGCAGTTAGCCCTTGGCAGATGTCTCTACTCAGATGAACAAGAGACTGCCATTTTATAAATATCAGTTTCCCCATTGTGAGAACCAAAAAATAGGTTACAGTATTTAAAATCATTTTAAAATAACTACCACCCCAAACCAGCCAATCTGACAGGCATTATCTGAAAACACCTAATTATCTAAGACTACTTAACATTTTACAAAAATGTTAAATATATACTAAGATACATGAAACTTGATTCAAAGATACATGAAACTTTATTCAAAGAACACATTCCTTAATGGATTAACTTGCAACATAGAAAGATATAGATATAAATGTGGATGTGTGTGTATGTTTGTAGCATTTGAATTCTACTTTAGCAAAGCACCCTGTGCAAGTGCGTTTGATGGCCAGGACACAGACCCAGGAGATTAGCCTACACAACTAGGTAAATAGCAGAGTGTTATGTCGATTTGAAATGATTCCAAACACTTAGATAGTTTACCATGTGAGTGAGTGATATATGTTTTGCTGTTGTAAGAACTTGGAGTGCACTCCCCCGCCCATTGAGAATGTGACTTCACCCTTTATCAGACCCCCACCTGTGTGAACTTGGAGTGAAGTTCACCTCCCCTCTGGCATGTGACATCACACCTTATCAGACTCCCCTATGTGAGTTACTGACCTCAACTACTGGGCTTCAGAATACATATAAACTTGAGAGTTTGACAGTCACTTTGAGAGGAAGTTACACTGTCAGTGCTTCTCTGAACGCTGCCAGCTCAGCCTATGACAGGGCCACACCCTGTTAGCCTATGAGGTTTGAAGCTTCACCCACCAACACTGGCACCGCCCTCTAGCATTGAGGGACTTTGCCTGTACTCACAGATCTCCAGTGTGTTGGATGTCTCTTTCCCAAGAACTGGTCATATAAAGGTATTCCTCCTCAATCTTTAATTAGACTTTACTTTCCACAGAGGTCTGCTTCAATCCTAATTGAGCAACTAGACTTTAATAATTTTAGAACTCACTCACTGTGTGGTTAATGTACCTCATCCATGGAGTGTATTCCCTGTGAGATTTGTTCTCATTATTCTCCCCCTTTTCATGCATTGTCATTCTTAGAAAATAAATTCTCTTTGTATGGCTATAACTGTGTCATTCGTGAAATCATACTTTGATCATCTCTTACTTTGAACCATGCAATACACAGATCCAGTCCCTGTTGATCACTCTTTCTGCTATCTTAAACAACTTCTTTGACAAACCTTATTATGATACATGAAACTAAACATAAATAGTTGTCTAATATAGATCAGAGTCTGACCATATAATGATATTCATTTAACTGGGATTCCTCAAATCAGTCTACCAGTGCCTTGTAGGTATTCAATAAATGTTTGCTTATTTCAATTTTGACTAGTCATGGGGAGATAAAGGTGAATAATTGGAGCCTGGCTATCTCTTTCTCCTTTTATGCTGATTTCCTTACTTCTGTGCCTTTAATAAGGTAACATACAAAATGCAACAAACTTTATAATAAAACTAGACATAGATGTAAAGTTTAGAACAACCATAGGCTTCTCAAAAAGTCTATAGCAATTTCCATCTAGAACTGCAATCCCCAACCGCTGGGCCATGTATGGATACCATCCGTGGCCTGTTAGGAACCAGGCCACGCAGCAGGAGGTGAGTGGTAGGCAAGTGAGCAAAGCTTCCTCTGTATTTACAGCTGCTCCCCATCACTTATATCACCACGTAACCTCCACCTCCTGTCAGATCAGCAGCAGCATTAGATTCTCACAGGAGCGCAAACCCTACTGTAAACTGTGCATGGGAGGAATCTAGGTTGTGTGCTGGGGAGCGACTGCAAATACAGATTATCATTAGCAGAGAGGTCGCACCGCACAATAAATGTAATCCATTTGAATTATCCTGTCATCCTGAAACCATCCCTCCCACCCCCATCCGTGGAAAAATTGTCTTCCATGAAACTGGTCCCTGGTGCCAAAAAGGTTGGGGACCACTGAATTCTAGAACGTAAATGTCAGAAGAGCAAGACTGATCATCAGGTCACTGAAAGACAGCCAGTTCTCTGGAGTTACAGGACAGTTGTAACTACTCAACATCATTCAGTAATCAAGTATTTATTGAGCATCTCTATGTGCCAGACAATCCTCGTGAGATCTTCTGAGAAACTAAATGATAAAGCTCAACAAAATACCTAACAGCTGCCCTGTGTAGGTAAACCTAAAAGGTTTATCACAAATAGACCATGGAACAGAATGCAGTAAGAACAACCTGATCTGAACCTAAATGCATGTGGGGAAAATTGGGAAATGGTGGGAAGCAACCCCAGAATTTCACACAATGAAATGGTTCTGGATGAACAGCCTTTTACAGTGGCAAATAGTTTGCATGGTAAACTGTGGATAATATATGATTCGAGGTCAACAAGTTGAGTTTAAAGATCTGTATCTGTAAACCACTACACCCGCACTTTCTTCATTTTTGAAATAGAAATTAAATATGTCTGCCAAATCTAAAGCTTTAAAATTTGGCATACCCTTTGATCCATTTACAGGAATTTATCCTAAGGAAATAACAAGAGAAGTGTGAAAAGATTTAGTTATAAGGATGTTTATCCCAGAGTGGTTTATAATAGCATCTTATGTCCAGCAAGGAACTTGGTTAAATACATTATTGTACATCCATGCAGTAGGTCACTAGGAAGCCATTAAAAATGATATAGGGGCCCGGCGCGGGGGCTCATGCCTGTAATCCTGGCACTCTGGGAGGCTGAGGTGGAAGGATTGCTTGAGGTCAGGAGTTTGAGAGCAGCCTGAGCAAGAACGAGACCACATCTCTACTAAAAATAGAAAAATTAGCCAGGAGCAGTGGCGCCTGGCTGTAGTCCCAGCTACTCAGGAGGCTGAGGCAGGAGGATCGCTTGAGCCCAGGAGTTTGAGGTTGCAGCGAGCTATGATGACACCACTGCCCTCGAGCCCAAGCGACAGAGCAATACTCTGTCTCAAAAAAACAAAATAAACAAACAAAAAAATGATATACAGCAGAGGTTCTTAACCTGGGGCCCAGTGAGTTTAATTCCTCAATAGATGTAAATTTACCTTAAGGATGGTGAACTGAGGGGCCAAGAGAAACAGAGAGTCCATCACTTACACAGGCCCTGTAAGTGCTGAGTTGCTGAAAGTTAAAGAATTTCAAGATGAGAAGGGAAGTCAGATGGGACTTGAAGCCCAATCAGGGAACATTTCTACCTAAGCATTTCTGGTAAATCTCCTGAACAGATCTCATTTAAAAAAAATACCTGAATCTCCAAGTCTCCAGTAAGATACTGTGATTTCTCAATCTAAATAAGTATTCGTGTTTATATATACTTTTGTTTTTTCCTTTTAGAGGTGCTTCCCACAATGTGAGAAAAAGAAAAGTTCCTATCACTTTCAGATCAGTTTCTAAATCATAGAGTCTAGACAAGTGTTTTGTGTTTATTTTTTCTTAATGACCAAAATAAACTTTTTAACAAAAATCCCAAACATAAAAAGTATTTCCTTTTTCTATTTAATAAAACTGTTGAGCATTTCTGAAAAAAACATTGCCTAATGATTGAATATCTGATTTTAAAACATTAAAAAATAGTTTCATATCAGCTAACCATTAATTAGATCAAAACAAAAATAGTCAAGATTAAATTCACTTGTTCATGTTTGAGAAATATACTTCAGGCCAGGTGCAGTGGCTTACAC